TTCGAACCTTGTTAAATCGCCAAGTCATTGTTTACAATTTCTTATCCCTATCTCTTTTATACTTGTGCTACATATTGCTTAACTATCTCAATTGATTATTGAATGATAGTTAGTTAGAAATAATTTTTATAAATTGCGAAAATTGACCATTAACTTTATTCACCCCCCTCTAGAGTTAATTAGTGGCTAACAGAAACATTTTGATTGGTTTGGAAAACTGAGTAGCAATCATTTGAGTAAAATCATGAAATATTTTAAGTAATTCAGAACGATTTTTCATTAAAAAAATCCACGTGAATTGTGAAAAATCATCAACAAAAACAACAAAATATCATGATCCTCCCATAGTAAATATAGTCGAAGGTCCTCAAACATCAGAATGAATAAGATCAAATGGAGCAAAAGCAAAATACTCACTTTTATTAAACGGTAAGGCAGGCTGTTTTCCCAATTGACATGAAATACAATCAAAAGACTAAAATTTAACCTGACCTAACAAACCCGTACATGCAAGGGTTTTGACACGAGATAATGACGCATAACCCAAACGAGAATGCCATAACTCAATAGTAGGAGAGGTGAATCATGTAGAGACAGCAGAAATAGTGGTAGTAGGCAGATGTAATGAAGAAAGTTCAAATAGTCATCATATCTTACGGCCTGTCCCAATGGTCTATCCTGTCAGAGGATCCTGTACAACACAACCATTAGAAGAAAATGTTATGGTCAATTCCAACTTAGTTAACTAACCAACAGATAAAAGATTAAGAGAAAGATTTAGAACATAAATAAACATGGGGCACAGATAACTAAGAATGAGAAATAGTTCCTATGTGACTAACATCTATAGTGGAACCATTGGCTGTGTGTATGACATGAGAGTGAGAAGTATGAGTTTAGGATATAACTAAGGTAGGATCAAGTGTCATATGATTGCAGAAAGTAGAGTCAAAATACCAAGAACCATATTTACCTGGTGTGGTAAAAAAAGCAGTGGAAGATGCACTTGGATATCGAGACAAAACCTAGTTAAGAACTGCCTCAAGGTCAGTTGCAGAGAAAACAGATGAGGCAGATTTAGATTTGCCAGAAGAGTTGTTGACTGGTGTTGAAGATGGCGGTGACAGATATTCTATGTTAGCCATAGCTGTAGTGGAGAGTTGAGCACGAGTACGACAAAAGTCAACATTATGCCTTGGAAGTCGACAGAAAATATAGTAAAGACCTGAACGGTCCTTTTTGTTGTTGGATTGTTGAGAGCCAGATTGATTATTTTTGTTGTGTCCATTGGAGCTAGACTGATTGGTATTGTTGCGTCCATTTTGTTAGAAAAATGAGGCAGGACGATCTGGTGCTGATTGTGATGGCACTGACTAAGGAGTAGAAGATGGCGTGGCTAAAATAGTGATATGATTCTGAGAACGACGAGTCTGCAAACATGTCTCTTCTCGAACAAGTTCATTGAGAGCTTGATCAAGTGATGGAAGAGGTAAGGGATGGAGAAGTTGACTACGTACTTATTCAAAATCATCATGAAGACTCATAAAAAACTGATAAAGTCGAATCTGATTGTGATACTCAAGAAATTTATCTGCTTCAGAAGAATGTTCCTATGATGGTTCGGAAAGAGCTAATTGTTCCCATAAGCATTTCATCTGAAAGAAGAAGTCATTAATTCGCTGACCGGATTCTTGTTTAAGAGTAGAAAGGTGAACCATTAATTGAGGTGAGCCCCATCAAAAGCAGAGTAGCGAGAGATAACCATGTCCCAAATCTCCATGGCTGTCTCGTAACTCCCAAATTCCATACCAATGGAAGAATTGGATGTGTTGCGTAACTATGTGATGATCTTGTGATTGTTACTGTCCCAGTCTTCAACACGTGTTGCATAGGCATCTGATGTGTCTTCTTTAGCTTGAGTAGGTTTTGTACGATCTCCAGTGACATAAGACCATAACTTGCGACCTTTCAAAAAACTGCGCATAGATTGACTCCAAAAGGAGTAATTGTCACCATTAAGAATAACTGAAATAGGGTGGGTTACCATTTAGAAATTCCAAATGCAAAAACGGACTTGGAATTCGAAATTAGCACGAAAAACTAGACTGGATTGGTGTTTTCAGGGGAAAAAATTCTGACATTGCGGACGTGGCAGTGCTAACGTGGCAGAATGATGCCGTGTCACTTTGTTGACATGGAGAATGCTGACGTGGCACTTGCTGACGTGCCAAACTGACATAGGTTGCTAATGTGGCAGAGCGCGTGGATCTGACACACCTCGGCATGTGGCGGTGCGTGGAAGCGCATGGCTGACGGAAAAAGCTGGCTAAACCTTCTGGCGGCGTATGGGGGCGCATACAAGGTGTTTTCCGGCCCTTTTTGGTGACGTTGGGATGATCTGAGTGTGTTCTTTCGCTTGGGATGCTTAAAATTGCGAAAGGACTTGCTGAAAACTCAAATTCGAACCCGTAACAGGATCTATGCTTGATGAAATTATTGAAAGCCATCAAGTGAAAGAAAAAAAAATTAATAATAATAAATATATATATATGTTAAAAATTAATAATAATAAATAAAGTATACAAAGAACTTGACTCTGATACTATGTTAAATACAAAGAGAGAATTCTATATTGTATATTGATGTAAAATAAGATGTATACAAGAGGGGTTTATATAGGATGGGTTATGTGTGATGAATAAGTAAACCCTGTATGTATATGGTAATTATATATATGATAATCCTATATATGGTAATCATATATAAGGTTAATATAATATACAATATAGTAATAATATATTCAAATATATTCTAACATTATGTATTTGAAAAACAGTGTGCACATTTGTAACTAATGAAGATGGTTTGAACTTTTCTTTTCTTTTCTTTTTCTTTCAGGAAATATATATGCACACACACATACACAACACTAAGAGACATTGATTTAGGTGCATTTGTTTTGGCATAAAATAATTTCCATCATAAAACATTTTTTCTAAAAAAAAATTCTATTGTATAATGTTTGGCTTAAATATTGAATATATCTTTCTTAAAAGAATGTTCAGGTATAACTAGAAATAATCCATTACACATTCATCTTAAAATGGGCTCCAAAAAGAACAACTGTGATCCAAAGTCATTTTTGTCAAAAGAGCGTGAAATAAATTTTCTTTAGAATGCTTTACTTTAGTTTAAGTGCAACCAAACAGCCAAAGTGAAATATATATATATATATATATATATATATATATATATATTATATTATATAATATTTTACAGAAAATGTTTCCTACGTCACCAACAGCCAAGCATTAGAATTGCTTGTCGAACTACTTAAAAAAAGCTATTATTTAAATTTTGCTTTAAAATGAGTTGATAAAAAATAAAAATTAATTTTTTTGTACCAAACATAATACTAATTTGCTTATTATTATCAATTTCCTACTATTATAATATATAAGAGCACTCCATTAAAGATTCACGCTCCATTTTTAAATTTTATCCTCTGGCGCTCCCCTCTCTAACTTTGTATAATTATATGACCAATTTACCCCTATTTAAGCCATCTCTCCGGTCGATTTTTTCAGGCCATACTTTTTCTCTCCATCTCCAAAAGAATAATCTTTTTGTGCTCTGTTCTTCACTGTTTTTTTTTTTTTTTTTTTTTTTTTTTTTTTTTTTTTTTTTTTCTGATCCCTGTCATTGCAAAAATTTCTTAGAAAAATTGAAACATATAGAGAAGGCAGCAAAAGGGCATATATACCCAGAAAGTATAGAACAATATCTATAAACTTTTACAATTTGATATTTTTGTAATTGAATATAAGACCAGATTAGTTTGGTGCCTAGAATTACTCACTATAATTCATAAACTTAAAAAAATATATATTAAAAAACCTGATTCAAGAGATTTCAATTGATGATACGGAGTATATGTATCTAGAAAATTCAGAACTTTCTCAATATAAATACATGTATATATAGTATATGTTTGGGATAAGAATTGTGATTCGTAGAGGCTGATGTTGCTTTTGTGAAGAGAATGAAGGGAGTCGCTACCGTCGTCGGCCATTCGCCGATGCTGACTACCGTACCTTCATCGCGGCTTTCACGTTGAGTTTTGAAAGCCGCAAGAGATCCAATTTTTTTTCTGATTACCATTAGTAGGTTGGAAGAGCGATCAAACAGAAAAAAAATATATATATATAAAAATAAAATAAAATTTGAGATACTTTAGTAATTAAACCTTGTTATGGACCGCGATAAAATTGGAGCGCCCATAATCCCTTGAATATTTCCTTGAATCTAGAAGGGCTTCAAACAATATTGCTACCAAAGAAAAAAAATATTAAAGAGTGGTTTAATTGTTTTATATAATTTATCACTAAACACCTATTATGTCTTTTACGAACAATTTTATGACAGCTCCACTAATTAAAGTGTTTTTAAAAAGTAATTTTTTTTTTTCATTATTAAAACAGCAATGCCAAGGGGCACATCCTTATAATTGTAAAACAATTTAAGGATAAATTACACTGACCTTTCCTGAGATTTCATCAATATTCACCAGCCCCATTCGTTGTTTACCAAATTATACTTAACTCTCTTGAAGTTTGTTCGTTAACGTTGAACGACGAAAAATGTTATTGTCAGTCATTTTGTAACTTTTAAATTTCAATTCTACACTTGAAAGATATGCTTATTGCAATAAAATATAATATATAAGGGCAAAAATGTAATTACAAAAGTCTAAAAGGGTAGGTCAGTATGACTCCGCAAATAAGAGGGCCAGTCAATGTACATTGACAGGGAGGACAGTGTAATTTACTCAAATTTCGATTGTTTTGAATTTTGTAAAGGCGGCTTCGATGCATAATTGAGGTTCTCAATTTTAACAATTTCACAAACTCAATTACGCACATGATGCATATTCCCCTAGTATTCAGGAGTCAACATTTCATGTTCCATTCCAGATCCATTTCCCCAGGCAAATCAGTTCATCAGCGTAACATAACCAATCAATTGATGCGAAAGTTACCACCCCTAAATATTACAATGAGGCCCAGTAATTTTGAGTTTATAGGCTCGAAGAAGTTCATAACTAGTTTAGAATAAGATTGATCGTCTTTTACTGAAATCATATGAGAAAACCAACTTCAGTTGATATAACAAAGCTAGGAAAAGCCAGAAACAACGCCGCATGGAGTGAGAGAGAACACCAACAAGGAATATGTAAGACTTAGCTCAGTTCTTCTCGGTGGTGTTCTCAAGTTCCCTCCTCAGCTGCAGCGAGAAGTCATCACTAACGTCGTCATCATCCCAGTCATCTTCCCACTGCTGCATTATTTCTTTTCCTTCTTCCTTGTGCTCCCACACTGGCATTGTTAATCATTTTTCAGTAAACAAAGAAAGGATTGGAAGAATATGCATTAACGGAGAATTTCATTCTCAGGTATATGATCAACGAGCAAAAGGACACAAGTTCTACATAATATAACTGAAAGTCCATAACCAATAACAGTAGTTCTGGATATGGTTATGCAGTTTCAAAACATAACGAAAGAAAGATGGAGTTAGTTGTGCGGTCTAGTTAGAAGTACTGTGTCCTTCTCCTTCTCAGGCAATAAATTTACAATAGTGTGAAATGAAAGAACACAATTTCCAAGTACCTAACATACCAACACTTCGGCGAATTAAATATCATAAGCCAAACATAAACAGAACCAACTCAGATAACCCAACTTTTATGCACCATTCCTAACAAGGGATCTGTTGCATGGACTATCCTATTTCCTTCATGTAAAACACGACACAGCATGGGTATTGGTATATGATATGGGCTCCACACACAAACCCAAATCAGACAACTGTAACCTTCACATGGCATGAAAAAAAAAAAAAAAACTCAAATTTAATAGTAGAGATGAGACTCCTATTTCGATTGATGGGAGCCTTTTTCTTTGCAACATCACATTTAGTTTGAGTAATAATTAAGTATATTCCTATAAAATAATATTAAACTACAATAAAACAGATAATGTATTCACCTGTGTAGTACATGTGTACGTACATGTATCCAATTTTTAGACACATATCCCTGTATCCTAAAATTTGAAATTTGAGACTTTGACACACGCCCTGAACTGCTACAATTACCCAAGCCCAGGTAACATAACCCTTGGAAAATAGAGCAGAAACGGTTACCAATGTAAGCGTGCTTATGTATCTTCATAACTCGGGGTGGAGAGGGGCAACCAAAGTTTATGTTCCCTAACCCTTCTTTCACTAATATCCTCCCTTGTTTTGCAATGGAAAATACCAAGATTCCATTTCTTATCCTTTGTACGATGATATCTTACCAGAAAAACAAACTAAATGAAGCCAACTTAGACAACCCAACTTCTGCACCATTCTCATTTCTCATCACCCTTATACAATATATAGCAAAATTTGTTACCAAGGTAAGTGGAGTGGTGTCGCTTCATGACGCTGAACTTGGAAAGTGGGGCAACCAAAGTTCGTGTTAGTGGCTTAGTGCCCTAAAGCATCTTTAATTAAGATCCTCCTTTATTCTACATTGGCAATGCCAAGATTCTATTTCTCATCACTAATATGATGATCTATTAAAAGAAAAGACAAATTACTGAACCTTCTTTTTTTAACTTTCTTTTTCGGTTCAACAGCATTGCTACATAATATGAACCATTTGGGGATGCAAAAAAAGTCCACAAACCAAAAACCCAATCGACCTGTTCCAAGCACATCGGGCTGTGGCCCAACTTGAGCCAAGAAACTAATGTGTGGACCTGGGCCCAACATGTTAAATTATGCCTGTTTCTGAAAGCCTTGCCCGATTTTGACCAGACACTGGCTCAAAAGCGTGTCCAGGATAGGAGGAACGCCAGAAGGTGGAAATAATTAACCATCTCACGCATCAAATAGATCGCATATGTAGCATCTATTGGTGATAAAATGATACCTCCTCGCATGGCTGCTAATGTCAAAATCTCACAAAAGTTGTTGTCCATCTACAAAATGTCACCTTGATAACAACTTTAATGCACAAATCACTTTCCCAGGGAAACCACAGGAAGGGTAGTACTCCCTCTTAAGTCACTTTAATATGAGAGTTAACCTTAAATTCACTATTTTTTATCCTATATATCTGAAGAAGTCCTTTGCTCCTAAATTCACCAGCTACCTAGAAAATGAGTCAAAGGAGGACAATTGAATCCACCTCCCTATCCTAAAAGGCCACGCAAAACCTGGAGTCACACACCACTCACTCTTTTTTCATGTTACTATTTTCTGGGCATTCTTAACAGCTGCAACTCTAAAAATATCTAAAAGGCCCACGTCAATGGCCCTGCACTAATGGTTATTCCACACTCTGCCCATTACCAATTACAAACCTGATGGATTTCGAAAAAACCTCCCACCCCTGATTAATGGTCTTCTGAAGCCCCACTTTACCAGAGATTAACCTCCCTCAAACAAAAATTAACCCTTCTTGTTACCTTACTTACTCTAAGCAACTATATTCCATAGGTTACTGATGAGTGCATATATTTATTTCCCCAACCACACCCAACATTAGAAGAACTCTCATCTACTTCTCTCCAAAAGGAACCTTACCCAAGTTGGGCAATCCTTGCTTACTTCTCAGTCCACTAATCAATACACGATTATATTTATCTTGCATTATAAAAAATTTATTTCCAGAAATAAATTACTCATGTTCACCCAATAAATTCTATTTATTAACCTAATCAGATCATCTACACATATATCCAAACAATTATAGTGAGATAAAAATATATAAATATCAGACATCCTTCCCTTCTTCCCTCTTTTCCCCCTTCTTTTTCTCCTACCCAACATGGCATAAGATTAATTAACTAGAAAACCTAATAATCAGAGAACTGGTCAATTGTTCCATATACATCTTTCACAATCTCAAATCGCTGTCTTGCATATGTTATGATAACAGGGCAAGTCTCCGACTAATTTATCTACACAAATTAACAAGAAATTGTGGAAATATGTTCAACCAAGAACATAAAGAGTTAGTGTATATAAACTGAAATCAAAGATAAACCTTGATCGATTTCGAATTCTTCAAACTCATCATCGTCCTCGAATAGGTCGATCTTCACGTCTTCAGTTGCTACCTTCGATTCGGTTGCCATTTAGTTATCACAAGAAACTGCAACAATAACAAAATCAACTTATATTGTGTGTGTATATATATAAATAGATAGATCCCCAATGAGTAAGGAAATATTGTATATCGGAGAACTGAAACCCTAAATTTTGCTGAATGAATGATGTGTGTGTGTGTGTGTGTATATATATATATAAACATGTATGTATGTAATTTGTAACATACAGATTCAGGATTGATGATAATGAAGATAATCAACTTACAGATGCGTGGAGAAAATCTCCGTGAAGTATTGATAAAATTTGTGACTGGTTTTTGGATGAGAGCAGGACGTTCTGGTTTAGACGGGACTATAAGAGTGATTAGCAAGTTTTTGTCTGCTGCTTGCTTGAAGGAAATGATTTTTTTATTTTATTTTTCCCCATCTCAAATGTCTATGTATAATTGTACATAATGACGTGACAGTCCACTTCGCGAATAACGTTATTTAAAGTGATTTTTTATTACTATAATTATATACTTTTACTGTTCATTATCCTATTCCTAATTTTAGAAACCTCTCCGTCTCAAATTTCTTAGACGAAGTTTCTCTCATCATCCTCAATTTCTTGCCTTCTGTTTTTTTTGGACGATCCAAATAAGCTTTTGACGATTTGCAGCTTTTTGACGATTTGAAACTATTGATTACCTTTAGTAAATCAGATATACAACTAGTGTTGATGAAACAATTCTATTACACTAGTAGTCTGAATCAATTTCTATTCAATGAATTGACATTGTTGTTGAACTCTTAAAAAAAAAAAAAATTTGCAGTAACATTTAGATATATAAGGAGATTGATATATATATATTTGATTTACCAGAAGTACTCTACAAATCGTCAAAAGCTTGTTGTAGATTGTCAAAACATTTGGAGTTATTACAGACCGCGTCGATTAAGGAAAAGAAAAAAAAAAAAAAAAAAAAAAAAACCCAATATTCTTCTAAGAAAATTGGGGACAGTGGAGAGGTTTTTGAAATTAGGGATGGGATGTTAAACAATAAAAGTGAATAATTAGATTAGTAAAAAATCACGTTCTCTATCAGAGTTGGACTGCCCCATCATTCTGTCCAACAAATCGGTGTATGGCTTTGGTGTAACTATCATTAATCTAATAAGAAATATGAAATTGTATAGCCCAATTAAGGGAAAACATTGGCCCAGGCAAGGCCTATGAGTATGCTAAGTAGGGCTATAAATGAGTCGACTCAACTCATTAAAAGTTCGGCTCAAGTTCATTCATTTACTACAAGTAAAGCAGTCGAGCCCGAGCTCATTTTTCAGATTCGTTTAGCAAATGAGCCGAGCTTCAATAATGATAAGCTCGGCTCATAAGCTCGTGAGCAGGCTCGTCTATATTAAAAAATATTATATTTAAATTATAATATTTAAAAGGCTAACCGGTATATTAAGTGCAGCCCAAATTCATATATATTTTACTAGCCTAGTTTCTACATCAGTTTTTAGAAGTCCATCTGATAAACAGAGCCCACTTAATTAAAAAGCTCAGGCCCAAATTATAGTTCATCTCAGCCATTGGATAATGTTATGTATTATGGTGAGGGTATATTTAAACTAAAGTGTTTTTTTTTTTTTTTTTTTTTTTTTTTTTTTTTTTGTATGTATGCCATTTTATTTACGTATGAATGTTTTTATATATTTCAGATGTCGATTGTTTTTAGTCTATTTGCTGCTATACTTAAGGATAACAAATTAATCGGACCGAACTATGTTGATTGGAAGAGAAATCTTCACATTGTGCTTACTGCACGGGAATACAACTTTGTGCTCACTTAAGAGTGCCCTCTTACGCCTGGCTCTGATGACAGCCACGAGCTAAAGGAAATGTACAAGAAGTGGCAAAAGGTTGATGAAATAGCCAAGTGCTATATTTTAGCTTTAATTAATGTCAAATGTTTTACAACATCAACATCAGTCTTTTGTCACTGCTCGTTACATTTTGTTGAACCTTAAGGAAATGTTTTGAGAACAAAATAGAGCGGCATGACAAGTCGCAATGAAACAAATTATGAATGCTCATATGCCTGAAGGAACTCCAGTTGGCGATCACCTTTTAAAAATGATTTCTTATTTAAATAAACTGGAGGTTCTTGGGGCAGACATAGATGGTGAGACTTAGGTTTGATATAATTCTGCAATCATTGCTAGAGTCATTCAATCAGTTCAAACTAAATTATTCTATGAATAGCATAGCTTATTCTTTATCAGAACTGATGAATGCTCTACAAGCTGTAGAAGGAATTTTTAAGGGTAAGGGAGTGTTCACACAGTGGGCAAAGGTTCTTCTTCTCATGGAAAGCTGAAAGGCAAGAACCATAATAAGAAACAAAGTGCCACTGTCCTCAAAAAGGTTGGTACTAGTGTTGTGGTTGTCAAGGCTAAAGGCAAGACTAAAATTAAAGGAAATTATTTCCATTATGGTAAGGAAGGGCACTGGAAAAAGAATTGTTGGGTGTATCTAGCAATGAAACATCCTAAAGGTATGCTTCAGTCACTCATTATTAAGACATGTTTATGGTTGGATCTACGGGTACCTAGTTTGTAGATTCTAGAGCCACTAACCATGTTTGTAATTTATTGTAGGGTTTCAAGAAACTAGAAGACTGCGTGAAGGGGAGATATCTATCTTCATCTGGCTTCACAAGCAAGGTGGTCGTGTCAAAACCGAGTTGCACAAAAGTGGTGTGAAATGTGGCCAAGTTTGAATTTATAGAATGTCACTACCACTATTAACTATTAATGTAGCTAGAGTGAGTAGGGATTGTCCCAAGGGAAATGAACGATACTTTGGAATCAATGTTGTATTAGTAGGTCGAATGATCAAAAGAGGGTTTGATTTGATTAAACTAATGGTTCAATTAAAACAATGTAATTAAATAACAATCTAGAATTTAGAGAAAGTAATATGAGAGAAAGGTCTTGGGGCTTAGAGTTCACCACTAAGCTTCACTTCATCAAACACTAGCAATTGTAAATTAATGGGGAAATTTTTGTTCTAAAATGTTTGTGTGTGACACCAATTGAAAACAAAGCATAATGGATGGTAAATAAGTATAGATTGTCTAATCAATCTAGTGAGTAGCACAACCTATCAAATGAGACCATTAACCATGCAATTAAGTCACAATTAGTGCACACACAAAAATCTAGAGAAATGTACTCCTAGCACTCATAAGCATGGAACATTAAACAACAAGAATGGATTGTCCACCTATTTAAGAAGTTAAATCAATTACACTACACCTAAGCTAGTGACATGAAAATTAAGCTAATTAAACTAAGGATGTGACATAATCCTTTAAGAAATAAGTATAAACCATCAAATAAACCATAAGAGTAATCAATTAAGTACTATGCCTTGACCATCACTAGATTAACAACATTAAAACACATAGACATGCATCAATTTCATTAAATCTAGAGAAAAGTACATGACCATTCATTACAGCATACATAGACATATGGATAGAATTAAATGATCAATTGAAAGCATTAATCCATATAAATCATGCAAAAAGCACAAGGTCTATATTTATTCATGGTCAAAACATCAATTACAACTAAAATCCCCAAAAATACGCAAAATCTAAGTTTGGGAAGCAAGCCTAGGGGCTGTCTCTAGCCCCAAGAGAAGGATTTAGCCACTCATTATAGTGGTTATGGAACCCTTGAGGGCGAACTTGGAGGTTGGCATCATCATCTTCATCCTTACTTTCTTCCCCAAAACCCTAGTTCTAAAGAGAGAAACTATTTTTATAATTGGTAAGAAAAACTAGATGATACTTTTTACAATATTCTTCAATTAATCTATTACAAGCCTCTTTGATTAGGCACCAAGTCAGAAATACTGCCTTTGATTGGAGAAAATTCGTAGCTACTAAAGTTAGGTAGAGTCTGGCGTGCTTGGGAATTAGACTGCACACTGCCAGCAGCCATTTCGATCGATCGAAGCAGTTTTGATCGATCCAACACTTAGCTTCGATCGATCGAAGATGACGTGTCTTAAAAATATCTTCTTGGCCTTATCCAAAATGCTGATCTAACACTACCTTATTTCGATCGATTATAGCCATCTTAGATCGATCGGGATTTCCTTTAATCGATCGAAGTTCCTCTGGTGCAATTTTCTTGACTTCTTTCCGGATTTGCTCCTTAGCTTCAAAATTGAGCTAAATGGCTCTTATTAGCCTGTTTGAACTTTATTAACCTGAAATAGGTAAAACAACAAATAAGTACTAAAACATGAAAGTAAGATAGATGAATGAACTAAAATGCCCTAGCTTAGGTGCTAAAATGCGTTACATTTGAGCACTTATCACATCCTCAAACTTAGATATTGCTAGTCCCTAGCAATGAACTACAAGAAGAAGAAAGAAACAAACAATTATACAACTATGAACTAGAAAGCAATGAAATGATAACGCCACTTTCGTAGGGAACACGATTGTATTTAGCGTATGCAACAAGCCTTTTAAACCCCTAGGTTACCCCTAGTGGACGAGTGAAGTCTCGTGAGGGTTTCCAAAAATGATACCCACAAACATTGAACTTTTTCTCACTAAAGAGGCACTAATATACAAAACAAGCATTGGGAGAAAACTACCTCAAGTATGCAATTTTTCAACCCTTTTCAAGCAATCTCCTAAAATCTCAACATCAAGCAAGCAAGTATGGTCCTCCACACATCAAGACAATGATCATGCAAATCAAAACAACTCTAGAATCCTTTTTAAGTGAACCGGTATCAAATATGTTGCTATCTAAGCCAACCAAAGAAATGATCACATCCAGCCTCAAACTAGCACAGTACCGATCATCAAGACAAAGAATAGACTTTTTTTTTTTTTTTTTTTTTTTTTTTTTTTTTTTTTTCTTGAATGGGGTATTTATATATATATATATATATATAAATAAAGAAGAATGGACCTTTTATTAAAGCTTTATTCATCTAGGTGCACTTATTCTTTTCACTCGATTATTTATTTATTTATTTTAACTAACCTAGAGGATCAAAGATGGAAGCATGGTGTAATATGTTGTCCTATTAAGCTTTCTAGCAATCCATGAGGTCGAGCGTTAGGTCAATGACTCCCAAACTGGACGGCATTAGGGCTTTTGGTGTTTAAATACCCCTAAGGACTTACAAGCTCAAATCAACTAGGTTACAAATCAAAACAACCTCCATCTAATCATTTCTCACTTCTCACCTTTTGGGAGAAGTTCTCACTTTTTTTTTTTTTTTTTTTTTTTTTTTTTTTTTTTTTTTGCTTTTGCAACTTTTTTTATTTTTTTATTTTTTTATTATTTTTAACCTAGAGTTTGAGCCCTCCACCTTTCGACACAAGAAATTCAGTGTTT